AAATTACATAAATCTCAAGTAAATTCTAAAAATTGTAAATTAAGTTTCTAAAAATTTACTCTATCACTAGTAGAAAAAGGGTAATTTACGTCACTATATTCTCGTCGGACAAAGAAAATCTGACGTTAAAAAAATGCGGTGGAATTTTTGTAATTATAATCAAGCTTTTTACGTCGGACCTCATAGGGGCCGACGTAAAAAAGAAAATCCACGTCGGATATAGCTTGTGTCCGACGTAGATTTTCCAATTTACGTCAGCCCCTACAAGCTCCAACGTAAAATATCTACAAATTTCAAATTTCTTCACGCGCACATCAATATTTAAACAAGAGAGCTTTGCGTGTATGTGCAATTCAAGTCTTTTGAGTTAAGATTTCGTTTGAGTGTATTGCATCTGAGTGTACGTTTGCGCGTTTGGGAGGTTCTTGAGTATTTGACCGATTCCATTGGGCTCGCGTTTGAGGTTAGTTTGGACAATCATTTATTAACATATTAGATAACATGTTGAAAATAAATGTATGTATTGATCTATTAATATATTAGTTAATATTATCCTCTTCTTCGCGTTTGGGTGGATCATCGTTTCTTAATATATTAGTTAATACTAAGTAGAAAATTCTTCGCATTTGGGTAGATCTCCAAGCAGCACGCCTCCAAGCAGAACGGGACATTCTCCAAGCAGAACGGGACATTCTCCAAGCAGAACGACCCGTTCTGCTTGGAGGACGGCCCGTTCTTCTTGCAGAACCGCCCATTCTACTTGCACGCGTTATGTTTTTTTTTTGTTTACAACTTTTTTACGTCGGCTCTTGTGAATCTCTGACGAAAATTTATGTTGGCTATCACAACCGACGTAAATTTACGTCTCCCGCATTTACGTCAAACCTTTTTTGACGTAAAAAGCTTAAAATAACCAACATAAATTACCCTTTTTGTACTAGTGTATGTTTGGTTGTGAAGAGAGAAATAGGTAAGAAATAGAGTGAAGAGAAATAGAAGAGAGAGAAATAAGTGAGTAGAGAAAAGATGAAAATACGATTGTTTGGTTTAAGAGAAATAGATAAGAAATAGAAGATAAATAATTTTATAAAGTTTTTTTTTAGTTTGAATGGATGAAGAGGAAAACAATTATAATCAATTAAAAATCACATTTTACCATTATGTTACATACCAAAATACAACTAAGTGGAATTGTTGTTTATGTTGTTTATTTGAATAAAATAACTTGCAGGACTAATGAAATTATACTAAGGTTTTTTATAACTAGTTTTTGATTGCTATAATTTCTCCAATACTTAATTTTCTGTTATATTATTTATTGATACAGAAAAACATAGGACTTTGCATTTTTTAACTTCCATGTTTTTTCTTTGTTAGCCTTTTTTTCTTTAGGTTAAGTAGATATTCATTTGCCAGTTACATCTACGGTTTTGTTCAAGATTCTAGTGCATAAGTTTTTGTTTTTGTCTCGAATTATTTTTTCTCGTTGGAGACATGAGAATGATGTCAATTTGAAAAAATTGTAGGTTTATCAGCTATTCAAATAGAACACAAATCATTTGAATAAACTATCCAACTATGCAAATAAAATTTGTTCATTCAAATACAATTTCCAGTCATTTAAATAAAACATGTATTCGAATATCACGTTTTTCAAAACTCCAGGATGAAAAAAGGTTTTTTGAGTCAAGTATTCACTACTAGAATTTATCTTATTACATGCGACTTTTTCTGCGAATTTTTCATAAAAATTTGCAGGAAACGTTGTTCCTACAAATTTTTCTGCGAAATTTTATTTACAGGTAATACCTTCGTGGATAATATATTTTTGCGAATTTTAAAATTTGCAGGAAATTTTCCTGCGAAATTTCTTGCGAAAAAATTCCACTTCTTAACTTCCATAACTTTCATTTATTTATTTATTTATTTATTAAATTACTTTTCTTTATTATCAAAATTGTTCTTAATGAAGTGAGAAAGAAGGAAGAGAACAAATTTAATAACTTTAAAGTAATCTCCAATAATTTTTAATATATTTTAAATCTAACAACTATCATATTAGATATTATTTCTTAAATATATGAGTCAATATTAGATTAAATAATCTAACATTTGGTGAACATCAAGGGAAACGAACTTGGTCCGTATCATGGGAGGTACTATGATACCACTACATTTTTCTTTGATTTAATATACTTCATACATTTGAATCACTTTTAAGGTATGTTTGTTTAATGAACAATATTTCCTAATTTTTACAAAATTACTAGAAAATATTTTCACAAATAGTTCTCGTTTTATCTCACTTAACAAATTTTACGATTTGTTATTATTTACCAACATTTACTTTTTTGGTAAATATAATATTTATTAATATGTGGTGTATATACAATAAATATTTTCTACACTTTATTAGAATACATATAGAAGGAAAAAATTTTCTAGACACTAAGGGTGTCATTTATTTTATATAATTTGTCAAGTGAAATCTTACTTAACAAATTTAATGATCACGTAGTCAATATCTACTTTTTTAAATTACTTTTTTTTATTGTCAAAATTGTCTTTAATGAAGTGAGAAGGAAGGAAGAGAATAAATTTAATAACTTTAAAATAATCTCCAATAATTTTTAATATATTTTAAATCCAACAACCATCACATTAAATATTATTTCTTAAATATATGAGTCAATATTAGATTAAATAATCTAACATTTGGTAGAAACTAACTTGATCCGTACTATGATACCACTACATTTTTCTTTGATTTAATATACTTCATACATTTGAATCACTTTTAAGTTATGTTTGTTTAATGAACAATATTTTCTAATTTTTAAAAAATTACTAGAATAATATTATGCTTCCATTTTATTTTTCTGTTCCAATGACTTGTACATAAAAAACAAATGTCATTTTTTTTGTTTTCATTATTTTATACAGTTTTTTAAAATAAAAAACAAACTAAAAATAAAACAACATTGTTATAATTATTTATAAAAAGAAAAAAGAAGAGAGAAAATATTTATTAAATCAAACATGTTCTTACTTTATAATTTTTCGTATTTTATCAAATCTAATAATAATAATAATGTTATTATTATTATTATTATTATTATTATTATTATTATTATTATTATTATTATTATATTGTTACTACAAGAAATGTTACATATAGTGACATACAAGAAGTGTCACTATAGATATAATATATGTAGGTATATATTTATTTGATATATAGTTACACACAATTTTAGTGTTGATTTTGAATGAGATTTAACAACATATTTTGTATGTCATTATAGCTTATATCCACACTTTTTAATAATATACCGACATATATTATAATTATTATATAAGTAAAAGTAATTTTTAGTGACATATATAGTGTCACTATAGAGTGTGTCACTAATATATGTAAAGAGGATCTTTAAGTACACAGTTGCTTCTCTTGGTAGATCCATGAAGTCACTTATTATTGACTAAAGATATTTGTTGATAGTCAACTTGTTCAGTTGAAGGTAATCGATATATTGCTTTAAATTACTGTTCTTTTTCTAATTATTGTCCTTCTTTACCAACAATGGTGCTCTCCACAATAAATGATCCATTAACTTACTAGTGAAAATTAAACCAACTCTTATCATTAACTAATAAATTAATGTAAATATTTGTATTGATTTAGTCACTTAGATATAATTATATACTACTATACTTATTTTTTTTAAAAATATTAAAATTAAACAATAATAAAAATATAATATTTTTATTGTCATGCACTTTAAAAATATATGTATATATGACATTAATTTTAATATATTAAATAAATTACAAAATAATTTTTGATTAAAACAATATTATAAATTCAATTTATATTATAATATAAATATATGAGTAATTTAATTTTTAAATTAGTTTCATATTTGTATTAACTATTGTCTTCTGTATTCAACTTCTACAATAAATTGTTATACTTAATAAATATATTAGATTTAATGATATGATATTTTACCATATTATTTTATTTGATTATATATACAATACCGAATAATATTTTAGATCTTAAAAGTATTTAAAATGAATTATAATTATTTTTTACACAGTTCTATCATCAAAAGTAAAACTTTTAAAACATGATAATTATGAGTTTTTAAATTAGGGTGCATAAAAAATATTAAATTATATTTTTGCTCTTCTTATAATATCTGTTTAGACTCCTTTATTTTTAATTCTACAATTTTGATTTTCCAATTTTATAAAGTACATAATTTTGTTCTTGTTTTGATTAATATTTATTTGTTTATCGTTAAAATTGTTACATTAAACATTAAATAAATACATGTCAATTAATATATAATTATATTTAGGCTAAATTTCAAAAATAGTTCTTGTTTTATCTCACTTGAAAAATTTTATGATTTGTTATTATTTAACAATATTTACTTTTTTGGTAAATATAATATTTATTAATATGTGATGTATATACAATAAATATTTTCTACACTTTATTAGAACACATATAGAAGGAAAAATTTTTCTAGACACTAAGGGTGTCATTTTTTTATTATATATAATTTGTCAAGTGAAATCTTACTTAACAAATTTAAAGATCACGTTATTAATATCTACTTTTTTGATAAATAAATATTTATCAGTATAATGCATATATATAGTAAATATTTCATACACTTTGCTAGAGTGCATATAGAAGGGACAATTTTTTAGGATGTTAAGGGTGTTATTTTTTATATATGCATTTGGTAAAACGAGATAAAAATGTAATAATGATGAGAACTAAAATTGCATATTAAATTAATCTAAATATTAATCATCATAATATTAAATCACAATTAATGTTATAATTTTAACAATGGATGAATATTCAATGAAAGAACTAAAATTATGAATTTGATATTATAGGAAGATAAAAAGTACAATTTAGTAAAAATAAAAAAACCAAAAGAAAGAGTTCGACTTAATTTAGCCTTAGCATGCATCAAATTAAACATAACACTTTGTTCATGTGAGTTGCATCAATGGGATAGGGAACACAACTCCACAATTAAAGCATCCAAATTTAAGTCGGAAGATCCTCCTTCTTCCACTGCAAGTCTTGCCATCTGCGCAAGCGCTTTTGCCCTATTTCTCATTCCCTCAGCTTCTTCCTCTACCATTACTCTTTTCACAGCCTTCTCAATTGCATCCCACTTAACACTATCATCCCCCACAAAGAGAGTCCATTTTTTAACACCAACAGGCACACCAATTTTAAGCACCTCAGTTAACAACTTTTCATTGTAAAACTGTTCAGCACTCACAGGAAAGGTTATCATGGGCACCCCAGCAGCCACACCTTCCAATGTTGAATTCCATCCACAATGAGTCACAAATGCACCAATAGCTTCATGTTCAAGAATCAGTACTTGAGGTGCCCAACCTCTAATAATTAGTCCTTTGTGTTCCATTCTTTTCTCAAACCCTTCATCAGGTACCCATTCTTCGCTATCTTCTTTCTGCTTTCCCATCACCCATATGAATTGTTGTCCTGATGCCTCAAGTCCCATAGCAATCTCTCGAAGCATAGAATTGGGAAACCTTACGACACTCCCAAAACACACGTAAACAACTGAATTACTTCTTTTTGAGTCTAGCCACTTTAAGCATTCATGGTCATCGATAGATGTTTTATTCCTTCTATATGTTTTATCCTCTTTATCCTTGTTGCAAAGAGACAAAGGGCCTATAGGCCATGCTTTTCTTCCAAGTTTCTTCACATAAAGATCTGCATAATCCTTCTCAAGTTCATAGAAGCTGTTAACTACCACCCCATAGCTCTTCACATCTGATTCATGCACTTCCTTCCAAAATGAGCTCATTTCATCTTTACTAAGGAGATTTCCCACCTGCAACCTTGTCATTTTAATTTCACCAGGAAAATTAGGAATAACAAATAACTCTGAGTCAGATGAAGTGTTGTTGTAAGGCTCGTAAAGGGTCATTGTTGCAGTAGCCGACAAAGAGAATAGACTAATGCCATGGAACACGAGCCTAGGAATTCCAAACTTGGCAGCAGAGTTAGTTGCCCATGGGAAGAACATATCAGCAACAACACAATTTGGACGTTGTTGAAACAAAAATTGCTCAAAGGGCTCTTTTAGCAAAGCAATAGCCTCAAGGAAGGCTGGAAATAAATTTGGTGAAGGGATAGAATCAACATGTTCGCATCCTTCTGGTAAACCAACCTCCACGTTGGGGAACTTAATGGTTTGGATTTGGATCTCTTTGATTCGATGAGTTTTGGCATTTTCTATAGCTTTAGAGAAGGTAGGCACATTGAGGGGTGTGGTGATTATGGTGGTTTTCACACCCTTTGCAGCAAATAGTTTGACCATGTCTACTAAAGGTATCACATGGCCATGAGCCATGAAGGGGAAGAAAAATATGTGTAAAGAATCATACTTAGTGCCCATCTTTCCCGCTTTAATATCGTAGGTAAAGAAAATTTAGATTTTGTGTAGAAATTAGCAGAAGAGGACTTGGTATGGCTGTATGATTATCAGAGGATTGAGAATTTATAAAACAAAATGATTTAGGCTATTGTTCATACCTTTGCACTTTTAGTGTTTTGGTAATATTTTATTTATGTAATTTTTTAATGTATAATAAGTAATTATAATAAATAATAATTGTGTGACATTTAAGAGTTTTGTAAGTATATTAAGAAGTGTAATTAATATTTTAAAATTTATAATAAGAAAAATAAATTTAATACTTCGTTGTCATTGTCAAAAGACAATCAAACTAAAGTATTTATATTTTTATTAAAATGTCAAACAAAACTAAATGTAAGGAGTAGTATGGTAGTATACTTATTTATTTAAAAAAATGTGTTTGCATCAATATCTATATATGAAACATGAACTATTATCTTGTGTAGGAGTGTTTTTTAAGTTTTTCTTCAATGAGATGGTTTGTAGAAATTATTTTATTTAATTTAGTTTTTATTTATAAAATTTATTAATTAATTAAATATGAATATTTTAAAATAAATTGTCAATAAATAAAAATAATTTTGTGCTATAATATAATCATAAATATAAAATATAATTTATATGTTTAAAAATATTTATATGTACAAATTTTAAATATAATTTATATATTCAAACATAATTTTTTTATATATAATTTATAATTAATTTTAGTTATATATAATAAAAGTGTCTGTACATTCACAAGTTAAAATGCTAATTATTTACGATTAGAAAACTTAAATTAAAGGTATGTACTTATTAATTTAAACTTTTTGTTGACCAATGATAAGGAAAGAAAGTATTTGATTATTTTCTAAAATTTCTTTCATAATAGATTTTGTGAAAAAGTGTGAAACAAAAAGTCAAGCTGCATCCATATTTAGCTTAAATTAGAGGTATGTAATTTTTAATTCAAACATTTTGTTGACCAATGATATAAGGAAGGTACGTATTCGATTATTTTCTAAAATTTCTTTTATAATAGATTTTGTTAACAAAAAAGTGTAAAACAAAAAGTCAAGGTGCATGCATATTCAACTTAAATTAGAGGTATGTAATTTTCAATTCAAACTTTCTCTTGACCAATGATAAGGATAGAAAGTCTTTGATTATTTTCTAAAATTTCTTTCATAATAGATTTTATTAAAAAAAGTGTAAAACAAAAATCAAGGTGCATTCATATTCAAAAATTTTACTACTAGAATTTTTCTTATTATATGTGATTTTCATGCGAATTTTACATAAAAATTCGCAAAAATATAATTTTTACGATTTTTTTTGCAAAATTTTATCTTCAGGTAATATCTTCATGGATAATATATTTTTACGAATTTTAAAATTTACAAGAGAATTTCCTAGGGAATTTCTTGTGAAAAAATTTGTAAGTTTCTTGCGAATTTTTTTGCAAGAAATTTTGTAGAAACTTTTTATAAAAAAAAATTAAAGAAATTGTTGCAAAAAGTTTCTTGCAAATTTATAATTCAAAATTAATTTTTGTGTAAATTTCTTACAAATTTTAAATTTACAAGAAATTCTATCATAATTATGAGTATCAAATCACCATTATTTCTTTAATTATTTAACTTTCAAACACTCACAATAAATTCATAATATGCTAATGTAGGTTATAAATCTAACTCAGGCTACAAGATTAACTTGCAAGGTGTTGCCTCTAATTATATATTCTTTAATTATTTTATTTCTGCTAATCAATGTGGGACTTAGATTTTTTTTAAAAATTAATTAGATCATGTCCTTAGAAATAAAATTAATTCCATCATATTGAACTACAAAATTATATTATTATAAATTATATTAACTCTTAAAATATTCAATATTCTAAAAAAATAGATTTTTATTAAATAATTTTCTTTAAA